GCCTGGCACGTGAAAAGTATTATATAAATGACATCTACTATTATTATTAATTGTTATTACTAGGTATATGACCTTGGGCAAGTCACTTAACCCTTGTTTGATTTTGTCTCCTCGACTGTGAAATGGAGGTCAACAATAGCACCTTCCTCCCAGGGCTGTTGTGAAGATCAACTGGGGTAATATTTGCAAAGTGTTTCGCACATAGTAGGACTACTTGTTGTTGTCATTGTTGTTATCTCTGATTATTTCAGGAAGGGGCAAGTAAACTGCAAAAAGATTCCACATTTTAAGCTGACTGGTCAATGGGCAGTGGCCTGCCCAGCTTCCGAAGTGCATCAACTTGAACAGCATCATCATGGAGAGCAGCCTTTGTGAGATGCATGGCTACGGAGAAGAGTTCACAGGAAACATGGCCACCCATTGGCCGCCATCCTTTTCTTTCCTCTTTTCCAAAGCTGTAACAGGGTCATCAGATTTGCAGCTGAAAACAAGCTTAGAAATCACTTTGTGCCTCCCCCCCACACCATCTGGCAAATGAAGAAAGCAAAGCCAAGACCAATAAAATGACTTACCCAAGGTCTCCTCCCTTGATGATGCTGGAACTGATACCTAATCCTGAGTTTTTTTCCATTTCAGCTTGCAAGTCAGATTAGCACTTCATGAGCTTGGGCTTCTGAGAAATCCAGTGGGGAATCCATCGGACATTTGCCAGAACATCCCCTGGCTTAGTCCAACCCTAGGCCTCAGTCTTTTTCTCCAGTGAGGTTTTACAGACTAAATGATGGCTTCCTTTTACCAGTCAGTGGTAGCTTATTAAGTAGTTTCCTGAGTCACTTCAACCACAGGAGAAATCCACCCACAGACCAGGGCTGAGGCGTGACCCACCTAAAATCATGGGCTCAGGTAGACATCAACAAAGCTGAGACTGTGCTCTTTTTGGGGAACCACTCAAACTGCAAGACGTTAATCAACAATTATTTATGAGCCACCTACTATGTGGTAGGTCGTGCAGCTACAAAGGCAATAAATGAAACTGTCCCTAGTGGTAATAAGAGTTTCACAGTCGCCAAAGGCTTTCACTTAACACTAAAGAAGAGACCAAGATTCTCTGGTAGGAGATAACACAGTATTTAGGGTTTGGCTCTCCCTTCTGCCAGGCTGGGTGGCAGCTGGTAGAAGTCTGAGAAATGGAGGAATCTTTTAATGTGGGAAGAAAAGCCCATAATGCTTAGATGGTTCTATGAATGGGCAAACCATGGCTCCACACCGTAAACGCCACCTCATATAGACCACATCCAACGATGGTAGCGACTCCAAAGTATCCGACTTCTTTGTTTTTACCCCACCTTCTAGAAAAATCTCAGTCCAAGACAGTTTGCTCCCAATGACAGTTATTGGGACGTCCTCATCAACAATGACTTGCTATTGGGTGAGTCCAAGGAGATGGAACCTAACATTCTCAAAGACGGCTATAATGGACACCAATAATGAATGTAATCATCCAAGTCCTAAACAAAGATACCTTACCTTGTAAGCTCATCAGATGGTCAGTGACCTCTCCTGACCTCTCCTCAATATAGTTTTTGCTATAAATATGATAATTATTGTTATTATATAAATATAATAGCTACCGATATTATTTCTTCTCATTTTTCTCCATGCATTAGCATCATCGTTAGGAGAAAAGAGGAAGGTGATAAGCATTTATATGAACGCCTAATATATTCCAGGGGGGAACTAGGTGGTGCAATGGATAGAGTGCCAGCTCTGGAGTTAGAAGGACCTGAGTTCAAATCCAGTCTCAGATGCTAGCTGTGTGAGCTAGCTGGGTAAGTCACTTAACCCTGTTTGCCTCAGTTTCCTCATCTGTAAAATAAGCTGGAGGAAGAAATGGTAAACCACTCCAGTATCTTCGGCAAGAAAACCTCAACTGAGGTCATGAAGAGTGAGACGTGACTGAAACTACTGAATAACAATAATAATATTCCAGGCACTGTGCTAAACAGTCATCAGATTAATATCATTAGTATTTTTCATCTTCTCCATTTCTTCTATCTGATCTGTGGGGTATGATAATAATGGTCTAGCTCAATCTACAATTGTGTTATCATTCCTTAATTATTTAATATCCCATAGTCTTTGCAGAAGTGGGAAAATACATACTATTCGTTGAATAAATTTAGTAATTAAAAAAACTTTGGTAATTGAATCCAAGAATTGGGCTATAAATTCTCTTCCTCCTTCTCCTTCTTTTTCCTATGTCATGAGGCCTGCCCCAATATGAGAATGGGGGAAGGGAATAAGCGTTCTGTGCGGTGACAACTGTGTGTCAGGTGCTGTACAAGCTTTATTTTTTTTTTTAATAAATATTACATCATTTGATCCTCCCAACAACCCTGTGAGGTAGGTGCTATTATTGTCATTTTATAGTCAAGGAAACTGAGGCAAGCAGAGGAATTTAAGGGACTTTCCCAAGGTCACACAATTAGTAAGCATGTGAGCATGTCTGGTCTTCCTGACTCCAGGTCCAGAGTTCTATCTATTTCCTCCCAAACCCTTAAGATCTACAACCCAACATACATCCACAAGAAATGTTTATGGAATGAGTGAGTGAGGGTGTGAGTGAGTGAATGTCCAGTTTGGGGCCCCAAATTCAAGTGATTTGTGGAGAACTTAGCAAGGATTCAAAGGCAAAGCTTGGAAAGGACACCATTGGAAGGAAAGAATCTGTTGGGGAAAGCACCAGGAATTGGGACTGGTTAAGCTAAAGAAGAAAACAGTGATGGAGACTTGACAATAAGACAATGTGTCATAAGGCTTTATTGATCAGTAAACAAAGGCTCGGAGAGGTCAATTAACTTATCCAAGGTCACACAATTGGTCAGGAGTAAAGACTCCAGCTCATAACTAGGTCTTCTGACACCGTGTTCATTTTCTTTTGTTATTCCATTATAATACACTGACTTCTTTTGGTGCGAAGGTTAGCCTCTTGTCTCTGCTTCTGTCTATGCACTTCTCCTTCATCTTACCGAGACCCAGTGACCTAAGTTAAAGTGGGGAGGCTTAGAAAGCACTTCCTGATGGATGATACTCTAGCAGAAAAAGCCAGCCCAAAAGATAACACATTCTACTCTGCTAGAGGTGTTGTTTTTGTAGTTATTGTTATTTTCGTTGTTGTTGTTTTTAAGAGCTTATCACACCCCTCATTGCTTTTGCTTCATAGTGAAGTGTTTCTGAGTGAGGGTGTCCAAAGTCATCATGGCGGCGACAAAGAGCCTCATGCTTTAAGTTGGCAGAGTTTGAGGGTCTCAGTTTTCTTTGGCGATTACAAAACCACACATTATAGTTGGTCCAGGGTATAAATTTGGGTTCTGGATTACTCAGAAGATAGTTTAAGAAAGCAAAAAACAGATCATCCAATTTGGCAGCTACTGCTGCCAGGAGTTATTAATTATGTCTGTTCTAATAACAAGAGCCGCTAAGCAGCAAACTCAGAAGAGGCAGGAAAAACAAAACACAAAGAATCCTTGCTTCATTTCCAAGAGAGGAAGTGTGAGCTCCCAGCTGGGACAACAGCCTTGAAATCCTGGATTCAATTCCTGCTCGAACATCTGTTTGGTTCAGGAGGCCACGGTCACATGAGAAACTAGGCTCCAAATGACCCAGCAGAGAATTTGAATCAGGCTCTCAGGGCCTCGGTTTACTTGTCTGTTGAATGAAAGGGCTGGACTCATGTTTGTTGATTGATTAATAAGACAAACTCTGACAGTTCTTTCCTCTCTCTCCGACATTCTATGTCCTAAGGTCCCTCCCAATTCTGACATTCTAAGCACTAAAGTCTGTCTCAGCTCTAACATTTTATGTTCTGAGATGTCTCAAACTGGACAGCTGTGTATTAAGTACTTACCAGCACACTCTTGGATGTTTCTTCTCTCTGAAATGTTATATTCTAGCCCCTCTCCCACCCCTAGATCTGATATTCTGCCTTCTAAGGCTATTCATCTCCAGTGATCTATCTCCCTAGGGTCCTCCTTTCCCCAGGCCTCATGCCTGGTGAACATGGTTTCCCATTTCACTTGGGTGAGTGAGAGTCACCAACCTTAGCTCTTTCAGTGAGATGGAGGATCATTAGGCCTTATCAATCTACCCTCAGATCCATCAGATCTAATTATTTGCTAAAACACTCTCCAGATCCCCTGATATTGCCATCTGACCTTCCCTTGTGCTCTAAGGACCACTGGGCTATGTTGTATGTTCTAGGCTTCCTCCCAGCTCTGATATGCTAAAGGTCCTTTCAGTCCATGTCCCATGAGAAAGGGTAGCTAAGGGCCCAGAATCAGAAGCAGGAATGGTGAGACGCAGCAGCTTCTTCTGAAATCTTCACCGTCCTGTGAATTGCCCAGGATCCCTTGGTCAGCCAAGCCTGAGAACCACAGGGGCAAGTGGGCTCTGGGAAGTTAAAAAGAGAAATTCATCATGGATTATCAGCCCCTTATAAATGGCTTCTGCCCCCACTGGCCTGACAGAGGAGAAAGCCAATAGCAGGTGACTTGGGGAGGAGGGCTCCTTCATGCTCACTCCCCCCTTTGCCTCGAGGCTGGAGTAGTTGGAGGGCTGACCTTGGCATCAGAAAGACTGGGTTCAAATGCCACCTTTCTTCCTCACTGTGGAAAAAATCATTTAAGCTCATTGAGCCTCTGTTTCTTCATCTATTGAATGGGGAAATAATAATAATAATAGCATCTTCCGAGATAATGTCTGCAAAGCACTTTGCATAACATGAAGTGTTAAATAAAAGTGAGCTATTATTGAACTATGGAAAGGGGGCAGTTAAGCAAAGCAGCACGAGGGAAATGATTTCTGACAGATGAGAATACCTTCTATAGTGCATTTAGTTCCCCACAAGAGCCCTGTTAGGCAAGAAGTATAAGTATCGATTATCCTCATTATACAAATGAGGGCGCTACGGCCCAGAGAGAAAGGAAATGACTTGCCCACAGTCGTGCAGCTGGTGAGTGTGCAAGCTGAGACTTGAACCAAGTTGTTCCGCTTCCAAGTCCTCTGCTCTTTCCACTGTGGGCCTTCTCTGCTCAGAGGGAATGACGCCAGACGGGAGGAGATGGGATGGAGCTATGAGGCTGGAGAGACGCTAGTTAAGTTTCACCTGAAAGGTGAAACAGATGGAAATATTCACAAGTCATTGTATATAAAGGTGTCCATAGTGTGGTGCTGATCTATCTAATTCAGTTCACCAAGCACTTAGACCTGTTAGGTGTCAGTTACCGTGCAAGGTCTGGGGGCTCCAAAGAAAAAGCAAAAAAAAAAAAAGCCCTTGTCTTTCAGGAATTCCATTCCACCTTCTTCTACAGATGGGTGAATGTGTCTAATCCCACTGACTCCCTCGAAGGACACCATTGGAGATTTAGGGAAAGGTAGACATTACTGAACAGGCATTGATAATTATGGTGACCTGAGGAGGTCCCCTTGAATCTGGAAATAGGGGAGTGAAAGCTACTGTCATGGAATGAGAATGGTCCTAAAAAGAGTTGACCCAGCCTACTTCCCTTCTGAATAAAATACCAAAATGAATGAGCCCAACTGCTTCAGAGGCCAAAGACTTATGTTCCCCATAGCAAAGAAGAGAGCCCATGGGGCTCATGCCACTTCCCTCATCGGGAACGTGTGTGTTGTGGGCACTCTTCATCTGTGCTAGGCTTTTGGCCTTTTCCAATGGTCACATTCATGCTCCAGCCTGGGTTGGACCCGGTGGGTTCTCTGATCTCTGCCAAAGCTGAGATGCAGGTGTGAATCTATTACTTTTATGGCCCCATGAGCTTATCCCTGCACAAGCCTCCAACAGTAGAGCTTCCAGTCCTTCCACGCCATCTTCCCCTGGGCCACAGGGAGTCCACTCAGCCTTCTCTAGATGTGCTACATCTCAAATTTGTGTGGATACAAATGGTGCTAGATGGCTCAGGGGGCTCACGTGGTTCGTACACAACCTACCTTTTTCAGACCTACCTCTCTCTGATGATATCCACCACTACCATCATCATCCAGTTATGTTTATCTAGCACTTTAAGGCTCACAAAGCTCTTTACTTATATCATCTCATGATTCTCTCAACAATCTGTCATAACAATGCTATTATCATCCCCACTACATAGATGAGGACGCTGAGGTTGAAAGAGTTTAATTGATTTGCCTGGGGTCACACAGCTGTTAAGAGTCTGAGAAAGGATTCACACTCAGCTTTTCCTCCCAACTCCAACACCAGCACTCTATCCACTATGCCCCAGAGCTGCCTCTAATTCATTTCTCCTGCCCCATTCTTAATAAGATGCCACCTCCTAGTCCATTCCACTATGGTGCCCTCCTTCACCCTTTGCGTGATAAGCAACCCACTGGGGTATCCCATGACTTACAGTCAAGTGGGTTGATGGGAAGAATGCCGGTATTGAAAACATAGCTCTTTGCATTAAGTAGAAATGTGGATTCATTACAAGCACTGTTTCACAATGAACAATTTCGGAAAACCTCTTCCTTCTCATGGCTTGGCAAATAGTTGACGCTGGGTAACTCTTTCTTTGGGTCCACTGGTCAGCTGGTCCTGAGAGGAGGGGAGAAGACACTTACCAAGTATTAAGAATACTTCAAGTGAAAGAAAGTAGGCTAAAGGATGATTCAACTGTCTCCAAGGCTGTGGGAAGAAACATTTTTGTGCAGAGATTGGTGGCCAAATGTTCTCACATTCACAACCAAAGGGAAAAGAAACCTGAACTACAAAAGAAAGGTCTCCTCCTAGAGCATTAGTAGGAATGCCCCTGACTATGAGCAACTTTACCACACAATTAATAAGCATTTATTAAGCACCTACTTGGTGCCATAGTATCACAAGTCATTAGGAAGTGATGTCATGGAATTTCCTGCCCCAGAGATCTTAAAAGAGCAGAAGAGGGCATGAGGTGTTAAAGCCACAATGGAGATCTCCTAATCCCATCACCTCATTTGGCAAATAAAAAGTTGAGTTTCTGAGACAGATGTGGTATGTCCAAAGTCCCACAACTGGTAGCATAGCTTGAATTAGAAACCAGCATACTTGATTCTCCCAGTCTGGTGAAATTGTGTTTTGTTTTGTTTTTTTCTACTACAGCATACTGCATTTTCAGAGGCATTTACTAGCTAGAATAGCTTGGGGTCTGTGGGATGGTCGACATGGCCTGTTTTTCCACAATGGTTGGCTTTATTAGATCATAGAAGTGTGTGTGTCGTAACTACACTCCACAATGATTCAATCTTATTCCAAGTAATGGGTCAAAATAAATGGGAAACGTTCCTAAACAGAGACACCTCCTTTGTGGGACGGCCCATTAGGAGAATGCATCTGGAGAAGAAAGGAAGTGGTCATGGCTCCAATTAAGGAATTAACAGCACATGAATACAAATGAGAACTATGTGCTCGACAAAGAATCTTTCAGGGCCACCAAACCATGAGAATTCCATTTGGGTCAGAAGTGGAAATGTTTCTTTTTCTCAGGAGCATTTCTTCTTGGTTATACTGACCCAAATCATGGGATTGGGAGCCAGAGGGCCTGAATTTAAATCTCAATTCTGCCACTTACTATCGACGTGACTTTGTATAAGTCGCTTCTTCCCTTTGGTCCTCAGTTTTCTCATCTGTGGAATGAGGGGATAGGAGTGGATGAGCTGCGAGGTCCTTCTAGCTCTAGGCTCATTCAGAAGCCAGCTGATCAAATGATGACTGTCTGTGGTTTACCTATTGAACCCAACACTGCCCAGCATAGAGTGAGAGAAGAGGGGAAAGGAAGAGAAATACGAATACTATATCTGCTTTCTATTCTGAAGCGTTGCCCCAGAGATGACCCAGCTACTGACACCTTACAAAAAGATGTGATCACTAGGTGACTGAGTGGTAACTCATGTCCCAACCCCGCCATGTAGGGGGACAAACCAAGAAGGATGCTTGTGAGTCGTCAGACGTCTTTGGTTCGTGTCCCAAATCAAAGAGAGGTTTTATCTTAAAGTGATAGGCTGTTTTCTCCCTGCCCAGAGAGAGACACTATTGTGTGACTGGGGGGCTGGGACTGAGGTGAGATGACCCAGAATGGTGAGGAATGAGGATTAAGTTCTGGGGTTTGGAATGGAGCACAGCAATAGGAGCGGGAGGTTGTTTTGAACGGAGACTAGCCAAAGTGTTTTGACTCAGCTAAAGAATTCCCCTGCTCACCATTGCAGCTATTAGAAGAACTCTGATAGGGAAGGCTAGAATAGATTGAGATTGCTAACACTGACCTTCACTTTGAAAGCAGCAGAAAAGCTGGGAAAAGTTTGATTTCTCAAACTCTATCCCTGATACCTATGATTGACTGATGCTTCTGATAGGATTTTTCTCCGTCTTTAAGCCCTTTCTTTTTCCTGATTTTGTTTAATATAAAGACAATAATCAATCATAACATCTTTGTGATGCATGCCTGTATATTAATTACGTAAAGGGGAAGTGCAGTGGAGGATACCATTGAACATCTGGAAATACACATAAACAGAATTTAAATAGGTCAGTGTTCTATCAGTCCAAATATCAATCGATACATCAATAAATATTTATTAAGTATCTGCTATGTGCCAGCTACTTTACTAAGTACTAGGGATACAAAAAGAGGCAAAAGACAGTCCCTGCCCTCAAGGAACTCACAATCTAAAGGGGGAGACAATATTTAAGCAAATATATACGAGCAAGCTATATGCAGGACTAGTAGGAAATAATTAACAGAAGAAAGGCATTAGAATTAAAGGGGTTTGGGAAAGACTTCCTGTAGGTGGGATTTTAGTTGAGACTTAAAGGAAGTCAGGGAAATTGGTAGGTTAAGAGGAGGAGAGAATTCCAGGCATGGGAGACCACCAGAGAAAATGCCCAGAGCCAAGAGATGGAGGGTCTTGATCGTGGAACAGCAAGGAGGTCAGTGTTACTGGAGCAAAAAGTACATGGCAGGGAGTGAGGTGTAAAAGACTGGAAAGACAAGAGGGGATAGGTTATGAAGGGTTTTGCGTGTCAAGCAGATCGTTTTGAATTTGATCCTAAAGGCAAAAAAAGGACCCACTGGAGTTTATTGACAGAGAGAGATGGAGACAGAGAGACAGAGACAGAAAAAAGATAGACTGAAATAGACGGAAACGTAGTCACTCAAGGAAACTGCATCTTCCAAAATGAGGGAGATGGAGTTGGCATGTAAACCATGAGGGAATCATGCCTCCTCACCTCCTTGTGGGAGGAAGAAGGTGTGGCCTGGAAGAATGACCCCTTCCTTCTAGGGTCTGAATTTCCAAAGGTGGGAAGGAAAGCTGTCTGACAATCAAACCTTCCCTCAAAGTAGCCTGACTCTTAGACATACATTAGAGAAAGTCCAGCCATCTGCCATGTAGAATAGAAGCTCCCTGAGCACAGAAATTTTTGGTTGCCTCTTTATCTCCTCAATATTTAGCATGGTACCTGGCAACATGTGTGAAGGATACATGGCAAAAGCTCCTAAACAAGCTCCCAGTGGTAATAGTCCAAATAATGGTTACGATTGGGCAGAATCATAGAAGGCTAGAGCTGTAAGGGACCTCAGTGAACACCTACTCCCACCCTCAGGTGCAGAGAGTGTGACTTACCTAGAGTCACACTGCCAGAGAAACATTAGTGGCATCACTCAGAGCCAGGTCTTCTAACCTGCTACACCCCACTGCCTCCATTAGCTCAGAGGAAAAATAATCCACTGTGACCTGGATGAGTTCCTGGGCTAAGAATTTGCCAATATTTGTCAATAGCAAATTGATTCCTTTGTAAACAAACTCTCATAGACATCAAACAAAAAGGGATTCAACTCACTCTTGAGGGCTATTTACAGAGGATTCTCAATCAGGTTTGGACCTATGCAATGTAGGGACTTGTGAAGATCCCTACATTACTTCTGCCTATCCCTCCGACCCAGAGATTCACCCATCAAACAAGCTTCCAATTCAGCAGGTATTCATTAAACACCTACTTTGTGCCAGATACTGTGCCAGGTGCTGGGAAAAATACCCTTCTATTAGAAAGGAGGCTCCTTGAGGGCAGGGACCTTGTTTTTGCCTTTCTTTGTATCCCCAGCACTCAGAAGAGTCTGGCACAGAGCAAGTGCTAAATTCATGCTTGTTGACTGACGACTTGCCTGGTAGGAATGAAATGGACCATTCTGTAATTTTGTCAGATTTCTTGAATTCCTAATTATTATTAGAACCAGGACACAGAAGCAAATGGTTATTTTCATGGTTATATAAACCTCACTTTTCTTTCAAGATCTTCCAAGTGTATAATAAGCAGCAGAAAGGGGAAGGGAGGTGGGGATCATGGTCCCCATTTCCAAACTAAGCCAAGCTCTAGGGAGACAGGACTCAGGTGATCCAGTTTGCCCATTGTTTTCCAGAGAGAACAAACAAGCTCATTGTTGTGGGTCCCCAGTGATGGGAGACGTAAGAGAAGTCACTGGGAGACAAAGCTCCCCACCAACTCAAGTGGAATAATATTGATGATAGCATAATGATGACAACAATTGTAAATAATAATACTAATAATTAGAAACAGCATGATGTAGTAGGTAGAGGAATGAAGGCTCAGGTTCAAAACCTGTCACTCTGGTCACATCCCTAAGGTGAGTTGATGAGTAAAGGGAGTTTCCCACTCTGGGAGAACTTGACCCTGAGGACATCCATCACAAGTCCATACCAATTCTGACAACATTTCTATCATATTTCATATTTTGCAAAGTCTTTTATAGCAGTCCTGTAAGGTAGGCAATATGAGTAGTATATTCCCCATTTTACAGATGAGGAAACTGTCTCAGTAAGGCCAAGGATTATTTTAAAGTCACCCAGCTAGTCCATGTCCATGCAGGGACCCAAATCCTGGTCTTTGGATCTGTCACAGTATTCTTTCTTCTTGGATTTTATTGAAAAACATCATGGAATTGCAGAACTTGAGAAGGCACCTCCATATCTATATGATCCAATTCATACATGAAAGAAATCAGCACCCTTTCATTTGTTAATTTGTTCATTCAATTCACCAGTTACATGAAAAACTGAGGACCAGATAATATCCATAGAGATGCCCCTTCTAATTAGAGGGCAGATGAGCCCTGGTGCCCCTGGTCCTGACTCATTGTAGGATTCTGCATGAATCTGAGCCCTTCAGTTTCATCTGTCAAAACAGGAGGATTTGAATGCACCTGTCCCCAATCGTCCACAGGACAGGAAGGCCGTTGCTCTGCGGGAGAGCTAATCTAAGCCATGCCTATGCAACCTGAACTGTAAATATCATACTTCCTAATAGCCCTGGTGTGACTCAGGCCACACGTGAGCGGCTGTTGGCAGTCTCAGCCAAATGAAGTGGGGTCTTGGGGCTGACCCCGAAGCTCCATTTGAGTAACTTCATGGTTTGGAGATATCTATTGGCTTTTGAGCTGGTGAGAGATGGGACATCTCTGGAAAAAGATGTTCCAAGCCTAAGAGAAGACAGGAAATGGTTGGATAAGTAGCTTGGGGTGGGGGGAGGGTGACTTGTCAAGACAGCTGTCTGCTCTGGCCCAGTGGTTCTGGGCCTCTCACTTTCACCCCCCAAATACCACCAATTGACCAAATTTGAAAAACAAAGAGCAAGTATGCTTATAGAAAAAGAAGAGAAAATTCAGAAACCACCAACTTTCACCATGCACCTGGAACATGGGATAACTTTGTCTGGGGCCCTCAGTAGGGCTAAGGAAGGTCTGGCCTTGTTTATCAGATCGGTTTAGTCATTGCCCACACTCACTCACCCACTGGCCACATCTGCTTTGTGGTGGAGAACCCACAGAACCCCTGGCCCCTGTTGGGATGAGAGGCTTGCTTCCCCTCCCCCAGCCGAAGCCCCAATTCCTCTTCCCCCAGGGGACCAGGCCAGTTAGGGGCAGTGGGCCAAGAACAGCAACAATCATGAGAAGCTCACCTCCCCTTGGACTTGTGTGGACTCCTCAGTGGACAGAGCCACGCCAGCACCACCTACAAGGAGATCAGGAGACTGGCCACCATCCACCTGGACAGAGATAAGCCTCTCATTGTCCACTAGAGGCTGTTTGTTGTTATCTGTCCCTCACTCTCTCAGAGGACCAATGACGTCATGAGGCATCATTTAGTGGGAAGAGCCCTGGGTTTGAGAGGTGGGGAGAGCTAGATTCTAATCCCACCTCCCACACTTCCTTAGCTGGGTGACTCTGGGCCTCCGTCTCCTCCTCATCCGGGTGATGCCCCCTTCAGGATGGAGTTCATGCAATAGATCCTGAAATAATACTTAGACTATTGGGGTAATGTAGGAAAGGTATTTCGCAAACTTTGAAGGGCTGCACAAATGTCTTCATGTCTTTATTTAGTTTTGTTTCAGCCCTGCCATTAGGATAGGAACTCCCTGTGCAGAAACTTCTGTCAGTGTGGGTCCTAATCCTTTTTTGGTAGCTTGTAATAATCTTAGAAAGTTCCCTAGGGCTACAAGAGATGAAGCAACTCATCTAGATCCACACAGCCAGTACTAGACTTAACCCAGGTCATCCCATCTCCTGGTCTGATTCTTTAGGCATTATACAGTGCTGACTCATTTGTTGTTAGTCTTTCGTTTTCAAAGAGGACTGATGAAATCACCAGGTGATGTCTTGACTTGAGTGTAAATTGGATTTCAGTGAGGCAGAGTTGCCCAAAGTCCTGGGCCTCACTTTCTTTTCCAGAGTCATCAAAGTCCAGTGGCAAAACAAAGGTCAAGATGACTGGTGATGGCCTGGGATGCAGTAGTTGACTTTGGCATCTTCAATGTCTGACGAAGCTCTGAGCGCTCCACAGAGCCTGCTCCAGATGCCTTCATGGTTCTTGGAACAAATTGTTCTCATCTGCCCATTCCACTGGGGAGAAATCTTCACACGGTTGGGGTAGACAGCCCCCAGTTCACCGATGGGTTTTTGGCTTCTCAGTCAAACGCAACCTGGTTTAGCCTGTCTACCAAGATGGTTTTACTAGGGTGTGGCCCCTGCTCATTCTATAGCTTCTTGGAGCCACAGGTGTAGACCAAAGGTGGATGAGCAGCCTCATTTATTAATCAGTTAATTAGCATTCATTAAGCTCCTACTGGGTGCCAGGTAGTGTGACCTACTTGAGAGCAGAGAATTTTTTTAAACTGTGCCTCCAGTGCTCAACACACTGCCTGGCACATAGGCTCATGATGACTGACTGACTGATTGTTCAGAAGGCTTGAGCCATCAAGGTGCTGCAATCTTTGGTGAGGTGGGGAGGGGAGAGCAGGGAAGGCAGTGGACCTAAACTTTGTCTTTCCCTGGTTACTCTTCCCTTGCCTGAGCCCATAGTTCTCAAAACCCTAGTGGTAGCAAATGAGACACAGAGGCATACAAGACTACCCATACTCTAACCTCCCATTTCTCAGGTTGATTAGGTGGAGGCCACCAAAAGATTGAGTCACCCAGGCTTTCCCTTGGGAACTTGAAGCACTCTTACTGACAGCAGGCATGATTTTGCTGCACACATCTCTGCACATTGCACTTTGATGTAATTATGAAATAGGCGCCACACAGAATGTCATTGCAGTGGGCCGAAGTCTTTGAAGGCCTTTTCGAATGAAGACTTGAGAATACTGATCAATGTAGTGACCCGCCATAATGGCAGAGGATTAATGATGAAGTATCCTACTGGCCTCTTGGCCAAAAGGTGGCATCCCCAAGATGCAGAAGAAGGTGTTCAGGCCAGACACAGTCAAGGTGGCCATTTGTTTTGTTTGACACTGTGTATTAGTGACAAGGACTTTTCTTTCTTTCTTTTTTTTATTTTTCCCCAAAAGGAAAGGCTCAGAGAAAGAAAAGGAATAGAGATAATGTAGCCCCCAAAAAAAGAAGAAAAGAAAGGGGGTCATTGAGGCATCTTTTTTTTTTTAACATCCATAAGAGAACAGAAAAATTCCAGAAAGAATCACAGACAAGTAGAACATCTTTGAAAGCCACAGGTGGAACTTCTCACATATTTAAGAGGAAAGCAAGCTACATTCAATAGAAACATGCAGGTTCATGTATAATGCTCTTTTTTGGGCTCTACTATGTATATGGAAATACCCATTTTGTTGAGCATTTGTCCAGAACTTTTCAAACAGAAGCAGAATGGCAGGAGCTGGAAGGGCAGGGGAAAGCTCCAGAGTGGCAGATTTAAGCCAGACATGAGGAAAAGCTCCTCAAGGACTGGAGTCGACCCAAAGTGGTACATTGTGGCTATCTTTGAGAGGCTGTGAGTTTCCCATTGCTATTGATTGGCATTCCAGTAACAGTTGGCTGGCCTCTCATCTCGTGGTAGAAAGGATAACCTTGGATTAGATGAGCTCTGGGGTCCCTTCCAGTGCCAAGATTCTGGGATTTTTATAAATCCACATAGAAGAGTTGATATTTGATCCTGGAGATAATAAGGAGCTACTGTAGTTTATTGAGAACTATAGTTTAGGAAAATCATTTTATCAACAACCGGGTGGAGGGTGAATTGGAATGGTGAGAGATCTGATGCTGGGAGACCAAGTCGAAGGCTACTGCAACAGTTTAAGAGAGAGACTAAGGAGGGCTCCCCCAGAGTGGTGGTTGTGTGACTGGGGAGGAGGTGTGAGAATTCCCAAATCTCAGGGCTAGAAGGGACCTCAGAGGCTTCCAGTCTAACCCACACCTGACCCAGAATCCCCTTGGCTTCATCCCTGGCAAATGGTCACCATCCAGCCTTTGCTTGAAGACCCCTGGGAACAACTTCTTCTCCCCTGCACCTTCCTTCACACCTCAAAATTGGGAACAATATGATGTAGAAGAAAAAAATCGGTACCTCGAGTCTGAAGGTGTGAGTTCAAACCTCACCTCCGAAGTCCATCAGGTAGGTGACCTTGGACAAGACTTTGGACTTAACCTCCCTGGCCTTCAGTTTGCTCATTTGTAAAATAACGAGATTATTCTAGAAGGCTTCTGATGTCCTTCCCAGCTTTAGAGCTATGATCTAATAATTTGTCATCATCATTCTCTGTTCTTTCTTCCCTTGCCTCAGGCTCCATTGAAGAGGTGTTGAAGAAGGCCCTTCTCCTTGGCAAGGTCAACTTTTCCTCTAGTTGTCTTAATACCATTCCCCTCTACCAGGAGCTTGCCCTCTTGGCCATTTCTTCTCTTTTTCTCTACTCCAATCCCTCCTAACGTGGTGCAATGTACCTATCAGGAACCCAACAAATGTTTATTGACTAAATATTGAATGGTATAAAGGAATAGTTAAAGAAACGTAGGCCTTATCCTCCTGGCCTTGATTTTTTTTTTTAGGCAACTGGAATTAAGTGACTTGCCCAGAGTTACAAAGCTAGTGAGTGTTATGTGTCTGAGGCCCGATTTGAACGCAGGTCCTCCAGACTTCAGGGCCGCTGCTCTATCCACTGCACCACTTAGCTGCCCCCTCTGGGCTTGATTTCTCAGTAATTCATGGACAGTTGGGAGCAATCATCCATCTTTTTTTTCAAGACGCAGAATCATCAGCACAGATGAGATGGATTCCATCCAATGGGGCAATCAGTTTCAAAGTCTACTGGGCCATAGGGCAGAAGGAGGTGAGGTGGAACTTTCTCTTTAGAATAGATATCTATGAAAGAGAGAAGGAAGAATTGTGTAAGAAAAAAAGTTATTGATGTGGAGTCAGATGACTGGCTCAGTCACTTGCTACTTGTGTGACCACCCTGCATCTCAGTTTCTTCATCTGTCAAATGAAGTGGTTGGATCAGATGACTGCTTTCTTCCAGGTGGATCAGATGACTACTTTCTTCCAGGTCCAAATGAATGAATCCTGAGAGTAAATGAGGAAGCCAAGAATTCAATGAGGCATTATAGAACCTGTCCTCAGCATCCTCTAGGTATTGACCTCTACAAAATATGGGAATTCCAGAGGAACATGCATGGTTTAAATTGCCTTCCTTGACACCAGGGACTCTCCATCAGATGTCTGTGTTGGGGCAACCAGATTCATCCACAGGATAGAAAAAGGGGAAGCAAGAAGCTGCCCCATTGCCTGTGAAGACAACATCTTGGTAGAAGAAGGGTTTGGTGTCTCAAAGCCTGAAAGGATGAGGCGGTTGTTTCTGCAACGCTTTTGGTGACATAACCTACTTTTAGAGGACAACCGCTGGGAGGAGAGTCTGGAAACCACTGAGAACCCATATACTCTCTGTCTTCTCTGTCTCTGTCACTCTGTCTCCCTGTCTTTCTCTCTCTGTTTCTATCACAAAAAAGCCTCAAGAACTGGTTGTCAACCAATCAACAAACATTTATTCAGCACATATTAAGTATCAAGCACAGTGCTAGGCCTTGGAGGTACAAAGGGAGAAATGAAACAATTCTTTCCCTCAAGAAATTTACATTCTATTTGTGAGGAGTGAGAAAGTGCATCAAACATGCACATGTAGAAACATAAACAATACATTTGTGCAAAATGAAGACCAAATAAGTAAAAAATGGTTACACATGACAGGGTTGGGAGGGGAAAGGAAACTTGCAGTTGGGTGGAAAAGGAAAGGTGGTTCTTGAACTGGATCTTGTAGGAAACTGAATGCATTCCAGGTGTAGAGCACAGCCGATGCAAAGGCAAAGAGATGGGAAATAGAGTACAGTGTGTGAAGAGTAATACATGATAAGTCCAGAAAGATAGGTTAGGTCCAGATTGTAAAAGGTTTAGAAAGCTGAAGGAATCTATATTTTACCCTTGAGGCAAGAGGGAACCATTGGAATTTGAAGAGGAAAGTAACATGGTTAGATGTGTGCTTAAGGAAAAAAATACTTTTCCAGCTGAATGAGAAAAGGATGGGTTAGAACAGAGAAATACACAAGTCCAGTGAGGAGACATCTGGAGTAGTCTAGTAAACAGGTGATGAACCTGAGCTGTGGTGGTGGCTGCCCAGGTGAAAAGAAGGGCACATATGTCAGAGAAGTTGTTAGGGTAGAAACAGTAAGATTTGGCAACTGATAGGACTCTACACACCCAGGCAACTGGAAGAATGGTG